CGCTTGAGCCCAGGAGTTGGAGGTTGCTGTGAGCTGTGAGGCCATAGCACTCTACCCAGAGGGACAGCTTGAGGCTCCGTCTCAAAAAAAAAAAAAGAAAGAAAAGAAAAACAATAGCATGGATTGCTGGGGTCACAGACCCAACTTGCCACAAGGGCAGGGAGTAACAGAAATGACTGATAAATGAACTGGGTCAGGTCTAGTACATAGTAAGGCATGGTGGGGACTGTGGCAAATGAAAGAGGATGTGATCCCCACCGAAAGAGCTGCTGTTCAAATGCTGTAGATTGTTGTCAGGTGGGACAGTGTCCAGAGTTGTTGTAGCTTTAGATTATGCACAGAGGCTGGAAATTCAACAGGAAATCTCCTAGCTTTTAAAAATCAGCTATCTGGCTTAGTGCCTGTAGTTCAAGCAGCTAAGGCGCCAGCCACATACACCAGAGCTGGCAGGTTCAAATCCAGCCCAGGCCTGCCAAACAATAATGACTACTACAACCAAAAAATAGCCAAGCATTGTAGCAGGCATCTATGGTCCCAGCTACTTGGGAGGCTGAGACAAGAGAATTGCCTAAGCCCAGGAGTTAGAGGTTGCTGGGAGCTGTGACACCACGGCACTCTACCCAGGGTGACAGCTTGAGGCACTATTTCAAAAAATAAAAAATAAAAATCAGCCATTTACCCAAACACCTTACAAAATGCTGGCCAGCATTTTATAAGCCAAAGAAAAAGTCTTGTTAGCTACAAGTCTTTGCCTCTGGTGCAGAAAATCTCTAGCATGCCTAACAAGAGATGCCAGGGTCACAGGCTGGCCACTATATAAAGATCACAGCAGACCATTCTGGTCACCGTCAATGGGATAGCCTGGAGGCCAACCTCAGCCTATGTTAAAGGTATAATCTTCAGAGCTACCCACAGTTTTGAACAGCAAAACTGAGTCCCTGTGAGGAAACCAGATGTCCCCATTTCAGAAATGTCCTGTCAAGGAACAAGCACCTCAGTGGGCTAAGAGACCTCAGGAATCTCTGTGATCACATGGCTCCTGACCCAGTGAGATGCCTAGCAAGCATGCTCTCCCATCACTGTGGAAACATGTGAAAGAAAGGAAGGATTTTCATACACAGAAAGCCTAAGCCATCATTCTGTTGCTAGGTGAGAAGAGGGGGTACAGCCCATGGACGTCCTCAAGTCAGCCATACGGTTCTTTGCGGCCGACAGTTGTAGGCCTGGTCCTGCTGATTTACATCCTCAGTCCCATCCAGCATGCTGGGGGCTGACAAGCTCCAAGAACTCCATGAGGAAATAGGATCCTTTCTCTTCAGCTGGAGCTCTGATGTGCTCCTGGGGCTGTGTTTCGTCTCTAGTCACTTCTAGAAACAAAGAACAGAGTGGGAGTCAGTACATGAGGGCAGATGTTTAATAGTCTGGCCTATTCTCAGCACTGTTTTTTTTTCTTCTCCCTCTTGTTCTTATTTCTTCTCCTGCCACCTCCCTTTTCTTCCCATGCATGGAATTGATTACAAAGGTTTCTCATGTACTGTTGGTACCTTGTTTGGGTGCCATTGCATGTAACTGCCTCCTTGTTTTCTTGTTGAAATATCATCTTCTAACCTGAGAAAGATTCTGTATTTGCTCAAAATAAAATTCGAAAGGAAGGTCAGGCAAATACAAATCCCTCCAATTTCCTCTGGTAGCTGCAGCCAGAGATCTTGTTCCATTTGTCCTGTTCCCATCAAAACAGGGATCAGCCCCGTTTCCTTGATTCTCACCAGGAGACCGATTGAATTCCAACCCAGCATCTGCTGGGGCTTCTGAGAACACAAAGCCATTCAGAAGTTCAGTGAAACAAAGCATGCACTGTCATACGAGCCTTTTCTCTGGCTTAATTAACCAGCAAGGCCAGGAAGAATCCCTTATTTGTCAGCAAGGGAGTTGTCCCATCATGGTTTGGAGAGAGGTTGAGTTTTCATCCTTAATGACCAGGAATTGCTTGGGAACCTGAACTAACTCTATATTAAGCGCTCAAGTGGTGATTAGTAATTTTCTCTGTTATCAAAAATAAGCCAAAAATATCCAACCAAGAGTTTTATAAAACAAGATGTCTTTAGAACAGAATAAAAAAGAATAGAAACAAACATAGTCACAGCAGCCACAGCTTTTTACATTAGGGGCAGAATGCAAAGCCAAATCTCAACACGGAAATAAACAGCTATTTTGCAGGAGGGAAAGAGGTATCCTGGTACTTGACTGAATTCAGACATACTGACTCTTTTCCTTATGTGACCATGTAGGTAATAGCTCAAGGAGTAGTAGGTGAGTTTTATCTTTACCTTACTGTTAGAGGCTTCATGGAGAAGAAGGATCACCTGGCAGCCTAGAAGTGAGGCAGAATCCACAACAGCATGTTCTCTTTAAACAAAACAAAGTCCATGTTTGTCTTGGTTTTGGCTACAAGAAACCACAGAGAGGGGCGGCGCCTCTGGCTCAGTGGGTAGGGTGCCGGGCCCCATATACTGATTCAAACACAACTGCAACAGAAAAATAGGCATTGTGGCACGTGCCTGTAAGTCCCACCTACTTGGGAGGCTGAGGCAAGAGAATCGCCTAGGCCCAGGAGTTGGAGGTTGCTGTGAGCCATGACGCCACAGCACTCTACTGAGGATGATAAAGTGAGACTTTGTCTCTACAAAAAAAAGAAAGAAAGAAAGAAACCACAGAGAATTGTTTTCTAAGTCTTCTTTGTTTTCTGAATATAAGAGTTCAGTTCAAAGCCTGTTCAACTAAAGCCTGTTCAATTCAAATAAAACCCTAGGGCTTTTACAGCCAGTTTACAATTTGGGACAGTTATTGCCTAGCTATTTAGACATTATCATTTTTCCAAAGCAGCAGTAGATTGAACCTAATATTTATTTATGTTAATATATTTAATTCTTTAACAATACTCAACGGCGGGGACGGTGTGCCTGTGGCTCTGTAAGTAGGGTGCCGGCCCCATATGCCAAGGGTGCCGGGATCAAACCTGACCCCAGCCACACTGCAAACAAAAAATAGCCTGGCATTGTGGTGGGTGCCTGTAGTCCCAGTTACTGTGGAGGCTGAGACAAGAGAATCACCTAAGCCTGGGATTTGGAGGTTGCTGTGAGCTGTGACTCCATGGCACTCTACCAAGGGCGATAAAGTGAGACTCTGTCTCTAAAAGAAAGAATACTCAAAGGCACATTTATCATCCTACTTTTATAAGTGAAGAGACTTGTTGAAAACTGGTCAGTAAATGGTGGTTTAGGTTTTCACCACAGGTCATTTATTCCCATCTGAAACTGTACCACTAGGCCTGGATCCTGGTCTGAAGAACACAGAATTTTCTGGAGAGTCAGACCTGGAGAGACCACTGGACACCTGTGATACCTTGCTTAAGTGGCCAGGAAAGGGTGTGATATTGCAGAAATGAAAGAGAAGGAAGAATATGCAAGCAAGTATAGATGAGAAGGTTGAAACTAGTAAGGAACAGTATTTCAGACGTTAGGATGGAAACTAATTTTTGGCTTTAACACTTGTTCCTTAAGTCTTCAAGTTTACTTTTCTATAAGAGAAAAAAGAGTAGTGAGGAGACTTCCCACACACAACCATGTTGCCTCATCATCCAGCCTCCCCAAGTTGCCCTAAGCTTGTTATTTCTAGTCACTGTCATAAATAGCATTGTTTGTGTGTAAGAAAATGAGGTTACCAAACTGCCCTGGGTTTCTTCATCTTCCCCTTACAGCCACACAGCTCAATGCCACAAGCCCAGTTTGCAGAATGTTCGGTGTGATTTTTCCAGCATGGGAGGGACACCACTTTCCCATTTTCCTTATGAGGAAAACAACATTTAGGTCACTAGCCCAGGATCCTGAGCTTAGCGACACCAGGGTGTGAGCCCAGGTCTTCAGACTGGTATTGCAAGCCCCTTCCACAACTATGAGAAATAGCCCTGGGTGCTGTGAACCTCACCCCTTAAAGCAGGGTGAGGACCCTTGCAGGACTCCTTCCCTGTGTAGCAAGCTGCAAATGGCAGAAAAGGGGGTCTGGCAGCTTCACCACCTCAGCAGTGTCCCAGATTGGATTTTGAGGTCGGATAGGCAATACAACCCGGTAAACACAGCGTGCACCATCTTCAACTGATCCTGTGGCTCCAAACTGAGTACTTGACCCTGAATAGGAGTCAAAACACATCCACATTCCACCCCCACCTCCTAGTCCTTGTGGAGCTTGTGGAGGAGGCACTTCACACAAAGTATTTGGGTCCAAGGCCTCTTTGGCCTGAGGAGATGGCTGCAGACCCCAGAGGCCAGCCCCAGAGCCTGTGCAATCCTTTCTTCTCCCCAGCACTGCTCCAGACTC